AAATGTTCAATGATGTTCCTCTTTCCTCCTTTTTGATTGCAATGACAACAAGGTGGCAATTGTACTATTTACTGGTTAGATGTCCTACAAGAACATAGGACAGGACAAACTTACCTTTTGTTTAAGAGAAGAAGAAATGACATGATCTTTTCTTATTTTAATTTTATTTTCATCTTTCATTTTCTATTCATTCCCTTATGTTGCACAATCTATTTTCTCCAACAGGAGAAAAATCCACGGTTTCGTGAGAGTGGCGACTCTGATGATGAAGAAGATGAGCAAAAGCGACAATCTTGATCACATTCTCACTGCTGGGCATCGACTGATACTTCAGGGAATTTCTGCAATCAGATAGAAAGCAATGGTGTCCAAATTTGAATGTGGATTGAATTGTGCCCTGGACAACTTGAAGACGTCATTTTCTTTACTCATGTTATTTCTCGAAGGCTTAGTTTCCGCACCTAGTCCTGCACAGGAGATTGATCAGCTACATATGTTCAAAATGAAGTATTTTAACATCATATTGTTCATTGTATGGGAAAAGAATTAGTGCATTATTCCTTTCTCCTATTTGCATGCATTCGATTAGGCTCAGATAAGGTCATTGAGTAAATGCATTCTACATGAGCACGTCTTTAGCAAGTCTTACACTTATATCCGAATCGATATTTATAGTCTCGAATTCCTGGCCATGTGATTCGTTGCTACTCCCCAAAGATACTCTTGCTTCCCTCATCGGCTTATCAACCTATATACTGTGCATGAAAGGTTAATTCCTTGTGAACTAATGAACAGAACGTAAGGGTGCACATGAGTTTATCTGACCCGATCTGTTTATAAGAAAGGACTAGATTTGATGATTTTTAAGACTTGATTTCGAACAAATTAACCACTACTAGAGAGCAAGGCATCGATGGCTGCACAGAAGGAGAATTGATCTAAGTTCAAGAGGGCTTGATAAACCTTAGGTGTTAAGGGTTTGCCTGCAGAGAGCAAGAAAGTGGTGGGTTGTTTCCCTAATTTGTTGTAAACCAAACTATAGCCGTAGCGTCTCTCAAACGTTCTGCAGATTAAAAAAAGAGCACGTATGCTGAATAGTACACAAGGAGTGAGCAAAAGTGAGGGCAAAAGAAAATTTGGGGGAATTGGTCGTCTATTCTTTTTATTATATTATTTAGGGCTCGTTTGGGAGTGATTATGAATAGATCAATAATCACTTTTATGGAGAATCACTTATTCATATAATCACTTTAAGTGATTTTAAGTAATTTTATGGAGAAGCACCCTAAAATAAATTCAAATGATTATATGGAGAAATAGGTGGGAGGTGTTTCTCCCCATAAGTGATTATGGTCATCTCAAAATCACTCTCAAATGAGCTCTTATTCATATACTTGTACGTTCAAAGTCTACTTGGGAGGTGCTACCAAATGTTCCTACTACATAGAAATAACCTTTTTTTTTTTTTTTTTTTTTTTTTTTTTTTTTTTTCTTTTCCCAATCACAACATAGTTAAAGAACTTAACTAAATTTTATTACATACTTGCCTAGACATTTATTTGTAGAATTTTTCTTGCCGATAACATTTATTTGTGGACAAGCGCATAAGTAACAGGGTTTTATCACGAGCTGTCTCTCAACTTTTCAAAAGTCCTCATTTTAAGTCCACAAACAATTTGGTCCCTCTCATCTAGTCCATCAAAACCTGCATTACAATTGGTCACTTGATGGCACATGACCAACTTTAAAGAGTTTTTTTTTTTTTTTTTTTTTTTTTTTGTTGTTGTCAAAATAAAACCTATCCACCTAAAAGATTACATATTATGCTCAACCCTAGTAGATAGCCTCATTGAGCAAAAGAATGTGAATTTTATTTTATCTCATTGGTGGATGAGCTATATTTTGATGAAAATACTCCTTTAAAGTTGGTTATGTGACCAATTTTAAAGAAAGTTTTGACGAATGCGATAATAAGGACCAATTGAAAAGATTAAGTACCACATTGATTGATTCGAGACTTGGACTAGAAAGACGACTTAAAAAAAGAAGAAGTTTAGGGGCCAACAAGGTCTAGCCCAATGAAAAATGATTTTGACTTGTAGACCAGAGATCTCTAGTTCAAATTCCCACGACATCATAGTTGTGTGTGTGTGAGAAAAATCCCCCTCCCTTGTAGTCTAGACGATCGTTTGTACTTAAAAAAAAAAAAGTTTAGAGGCCACTTGTGATTATTTTTTTTTTGAAAACACTGATATGTAACCAAAAAAATAAAAGAAAGGCAAAAATCAATTTTGGTCCTTGTAGTTTGCCAGATTTACCACTTCACTCCCCATAGGTTCAATTTTATCCTTGTAGTTTTCAATTTTATCAATTTTATCCTCCTAGTTTTCAATTTGAAGCAATTCAAGGACATATTTCAATTTCAATTAAAATTCTTCCATATTCCTTTTAGTTTTGACCACGACCTCACATAGAGGGATAATTTCATGCACTTGAGCTAAATTCTTCCAAATTCACCCAAATTTTAATCCAGAGATGCAAATTTTTTCAAAACTCTAAATCCCTAAATCACGCCTAAAGTAAAAAAGAAGAGCTCCAACTTGTGTTTTACTATTAAATGGCAGCACGCGGTTAAAACTTAACATAATTGGAGGAATTTGATGGAATTTGAAACGTGTACTTGAATTGCTCCGAATTGAAACTACAAGGATAAAACTCACAAAATTAAAACTACAAGGACCAAAGTTATAAAATCAGCAAACTATATTGCGACACCTCGACCCTATTTTTATTGTCCATTTAAAATTAATTAATTTACTTAATTATGAAATTACATTTTACCCTCGGGGATAAGGTTATTTTGGTCACTTTTTAATTTGGTAGGATTTTGGGGAATTGAATGGCACTATGATGTAGATCGCGGCTGACAGGACTCGACCCAAATTCCACTTTGGAATATGAGCCGAATCTTGTGCGTGTCCAACACCTGCCAGGTGCCGGACATACTTGACCAAAATGCCCTTCTAACTAGGACTCAAAATTTCTTTTAAGATTTGACTTATGCCGAAAATTCGATCGAGTCCCCCCTTGTAAATCGCTCATTTCCCCAAATCTTCATATGTACAAAAACCCCAATCATTTAGCATGCATTCAGACAAATAACTTTGAATGGCCTCGGGTCTCTTCATACCAAATCAAACATTCTATCATCTGAATCTGGTCTCAACTCTTAGAACAACGTGAATACTTTAACAAGTTACAATGTGACCTAACTGAACAAAATTTTCCATACTCAATCTTATGGCTGCACCTAGTAACTCTAGGTTACCTACATACCCTTATCGATAGATCAAGCCACACGTAGTTCTTTCATTTTTTTATGTTTGCACTTGTATATCTTTATCAACTGTTATATTTCAATGTAATTTGCAAATCAATCCGCTGAAACTCAAGCAAGGGCTATTGATGTTAGAACAATCTTCCACTCATCCCACATGTGCATATATATATATATAATTAACTTATTACTGATAAGTAGGAAAACGAGAAAATTATTAAAGTAGCATTGACCACATGAAACCTTAATGTCAATATCAACAATTTAAATAAAACATGTTTCCCTCTTTCTCATGTAAAAACAAATTCATCACTTAAGAAAATAATTGTGAATTATATAAAATCCTAAAAAGTTTGAAAACTCTCAATCCTTGTCTCATAATTTGGAAAACATGTATTAAAACCTTCATCAATAAGTACAAAGATAAAATCATCAATTTTAGTTTAAAACATCTCAAACTCAAATACCTCCACCTAGGTGTACCCCCATTCATAACCCGTCAATTCCACTAATATTCTGTCAATTCCAATAATATTCCGTCAATTACAAGTACCATGTATATTACCTCATCGCAGAACTTGGGGGACACGTGGTCAACCCAAGAATGGATATCCTCATAGAACTCGGGGGACACATGGTCAGCGAGAACACATATCCTTGCAGAACTAACGGGTGGTTTACTCTAGGGGTGGGTTAGAAAACCATATTTCGAAACTTATCATAAAATTTCCCTTATTCCACAAATCCATTTTTCAAATCTTTGATCAACTTTCCAAAAATCAGTTCTCAACTACATTTAAATTTGCACCACATACTATTGAGAACTAGTGTCCTTAATTCATCATTTTCAAACTGCGGAGTATATATATTAAATATAGACATATACTTAGATATTTAATTAATTTATTATTCACATCAAAATACAATTAACAAACCATTCCCAACTCTTCACAACTAAACATAAAATAAAATACTCAAAAAGTAAAAGTGATTATTAAATGATCTTCCATAACTATAAGTTTAGCTCATTCTAAAGGTCTCGTCACGATCCAATGGTTAGATTGACTCCGGTTGTAGAATTGACCACTTGGGCCCGTGGGCCCCACAATCTTCGATTTCTGATTCGAACATTCCTATAAGTTTGACAAGGTCCACTCAACATGTCTCGAGAGTTTGGTCTCGATCGAGCAGTTGGATCGCTCCCTATCGGACGGTTACTGTTTTATGTAGCTTTAAATCATTGGGCTCTGATTCTTGATCCATGAGTTCCTACACGATCCTAGAGGTTCTTAGATCAACATAAGTAGAAACAGAGTCGATCCAATGGCCTGAACATATCAAACCCAGATAAGGCCTAATATGTGATATTCAAACGATAACTAAATTCAAATCCGAGCATACCGTCGTGCTCGAGATGACATGGGGATCATTTTAGGACTCAAAGGCCTGTGACAAGGTGGCCCATGCGTCGCCACACTCGCCGGCAACGGTTGGGTTCCCAAAGTAATTTCGGTGATCAGAAAATCTCCAAGCTGTTGGTCATGACCTATACCTACGTGATGAAGACAATGAGTGAAGCAACTTTTGTTCTTGGACCATGGCCAAAAAGTGGCGGGAGATGACCAGAACTACGAGCCGAAACTGGCCAAAACTTTAAGTGATAATTTGAGTTTCAAAACGTAAAAATCAATCCTAAACAACCCAACCATCAGCTAGAACACATTAAGAGGATTGAAAAATCATACCTGGATCGAAGAAATTGGTGGCCGAAATTGGTGGAACAAGCATCGAAAATTTCACGTAAAACCAGCCAGATTTTTTTGATTTTCCGGTGGCCAGAGCTCATGGTGGAGGAGGTGGAGGCATGGGGTAGGGCGGCGGAGACTGGCCTGTCATTTTGGGATCGGTCCGGGCTCCGATGGTAGCTGCAGGTGGCGGCGGCGGCCCAAAACCCTTTCGGCTGGAAGAGCTGGTTGCTCACGAAGGGAGGGAGGCTTAGAGAGAGAGAGAGAGAGAGAGAGAGAGAGAGAGCGAGAGATAAGAAAAAAAAAATCTGACTTTTCAATATTTACGGTTGTGCCACTGCACTATTGTTGATCTTAACTTCTTCGTTATAATCCTGATTTGAGCCCACTACATGTCTGCGGACTCATATCAAAGCGATCTACATAATGGTGGCACTCAATTCCTCAAAATATTTCCCGAATAAAAAATCAACTT